AGAATTATGTGGATTGCAAGTGACAGAAGTCTAACTCAAACTCACTTCAGCAAAAAAGGAATGTATGGACTCATGAGCCTGGGATAAGTCACGGATCAGCCTCAGGACCTCAGAATGGGGCCTGAGACTCAATATCACCAAGACAATCTCCCTGCATACTTCTCTTATTTTTTGCAAGCGGTGGGGAAAAGGTGGCTGACTGTCACTAATTCATACCAACTAGCTGAACACCTTATTGGAATAAGTACTCTCCTCCAACATCCACCTATCGATCCTGGACTGGTCTTGCGTGAGTCATATTCTCATCTCTGGGGCTACGGGGCAAGAGTCTTGACAGAGGATATTGATTGGGAAGGCCTGCAGGAAGAAAAGGTGCAAAACAACTCAAGTTGGCTGCATGGAGCCATAAACACATGGTGCCCTTGACATAGCCTAGCAGGAGAGGTGGAGGAGCAAATGATCACTATCGTCTGGTAAGTGTTGTGACATGGGGACAAGGGGCTGGGGATCCCAAAGACGACAGTGGCTGCCAGGGAAGCCTTCACAGAAAAGGGCTGAGATGAATCTTATCCCCTTCTTCCGGTGGCTACACCCAACTTACCTTGAAGAAATATACCCTCCCTCTTTCCTCACAATACCTTCGTTTCAGGTGGTGCTAACCTCACAGCTAGCTTCAGGGTGGAGACAGGATTTAGGCCAGACCAATGGGAGCTTGCTTTGGATCAATTGCGTGAACCATTAGGAACAGTGCTCTCTATCTGTCCAAGTGAGAAAGCTGGTAGAACCTGAGCCAGCAAGTGCCGGAGGCCACATTTCATACTTAACCTTGAAGGCTATATGAGGAGGCCAGTAGAAAGGAGAGCAGAATGGAGGGGGGATGGAGAAGAGTGAGATTGATTCTGATGACATTCTACATTGCCTCAATTTTCAGTTATGTGACACTCTGAATAAATTACGTTTTTGTAGACGTCAATTTGAGTTGCGGTTCTTTACTATGCAATAGAAGGTCTTGCCTGACATGGTATGTTATGGATCTGAAAAGGTGAGTTGGCAATTGGTAGAACTCTCCTTTGGGATTCAAAAAGACCAGGATGTGTAATGGCAGGGCCACCATTCATGCTTTTCTTGTGACAGCTAGTCTACTGAATTGGTCCTAGATAAGTCTGTCCCTCCCTATGCATGCATGTAGCTCTTCCACAGCTCTTTTGAATTTGGGCCGGGCCTATGATTGTTTTGACCAATAGAACCCAAAAGTGATATTCTTAAGAAGGCCCGGCAGTGTCCACTCTCTCTTTTGGACCTCTGAGTTGCCATGTAAGAAAAGCAGGTTCATTTGCTGGAGAAAGGCCACACGGGGAGCCAGAGAGGGTTCACTGGGGAGCACCAAGGTGCCACACATCCAATCTAGTTACCAGTTGAAACATGAGGATGAGACACCTCACATGAGATCAGAGGGAAAAATGTATAGCTGGATTCCAGAATCATAACATTGTTTCATGCCACCAACACACACACACACACACACACACACACACAATTATTCACATTAAATCACAAAAAGTAGCTCACTCTGGGCAAATGAATTGCAAAAAAGTACTTTCCTCCAGGCTAGAGCACCAGCTGCCTGGGCTCAGCGCTCACAAAGGGAGGAGAGGCCTCCCTAGCCTTACAGCTTAGTGATACTTTTTTATGTGCACTGAACAACCCCAGTGACCACTAGTCCTGGGGGTTGGAGGTTGTATGGGGAGGGACGTGCCTTCAGGCAGGTAGTCTGTCTGTGTTCCTACCAACCTCTTACACCTCCTGGGCTTTTCCTGGTGTCCTGCCATGCCCTTTTCCAGTGTTGCTGGTACTAGAGACCTAGGCTGTTAACTGCTAATTTCTTGTCAAATTGCAGGCAATGGCCATCCCGAGGTCAGGTTGAGAGAGGCAATCAAATAGCTTTTGCTCCTCCATCCTTTCCTTGTCCTTCCAGCAGCTGCCCCACCCTCACAACAGGACAGCTCGCTCACTGCCATCAAGTCCACGCCGACTCTTAGCAACCCTACAGGACAGAGTCGAACTGTCCCTGTGGTTTTCCAAGATGGAAACTCTTTACAGGATTTGAAAACCTCATCTTTCTCCCACTGAGTGGCTGCTGATTTAGAACTGCTGACCTCGCAGTTAACAGTCCGTGTAACCCACAATGCCACTAGGGTTCCTGTTGCCTGGATAGCAGCCACCCGATTTCCCACACTCTGTGTAATAGTTAGATAAGTTTATGTCAACTTGAAGATTTACGGAAGTGTAAATCTTTGACCTGTCAATCAGGTCAAAGCCTGGTGCTGTCTCCTTGGGAGTGTGGCCTCCTGTAAGGAAGACTCTAGGACCCTGCCACTCTCTCTCCGCCTTTCCCTTCCTGCTTGCAAGCCCTGAGCGCTGCCAAAGCACTGTTGTTCCCCACTTCCTTGGAGCCACAAAACTTCATACCCACTGGTCTGTGATCTTCCTGCATTCTGCATCGTTGTACGTGGCAACCTAAGGCTGAAGAAGGATTTATGGACTAGTATTCGACTTATGGACTTGAGTTCACTGGGCTGGGGTATTTTCTTGATATAAAGCTCTTTCTTACACGTATGTGTCACTGGATTAGTTTCTGTAGCCCACCTGGCCTAATACCCTCTGTATCAAGGAGTTCTGGTGGTGTAGTAGTTATGAGTTTGACTGTTAACTGCAAGGTCAGCAGTTTGAAAGACCGGGCGTCCTACTCTTGTAAAGAGTTACAGTCTCAGAAATGCAAGGGGGGCACACAAGGTAGACCTTGTCCTGTAGGGTCACCATGATTCGGCATCGACTTGATGGCAGTGAGTTTGGTATCAAGTCAGGTTTTAGTTTTCAGGAAAGGTTGTTTGTGTATTTTGATTTGCTATCGCTAGTACCTGGAACCCGTTTCTCACTTCTTAACAGTTGATTTTCTAGGAAGGAGTCAGCAGCCCTTCCTAATTTGCCATCTCAGTAGGAGGAAAGCAATTTCTTTTTCCTCCATGACCTTCAGCATGTGCCTCTAATGGACTAAAACTCAGCTGGGTGTTTTTCTTGCCCCCAAATAATGGGCTTTCTCAGATCAGGGAGGAACCTGATTCAGATCTGTGCCCTGGTCTCAGCACAGGGCAGAGCCCCAATCACCAGTCAGTTACTGTCTTGATACAAGCATCATTCGGCAGCTCTACAACCCTATCAATTGCCTTCCAGCTGATTGCGACTCACTGACCCTACAGGCAGGGCAGACCTGCCCCTTAGGGTTTCAAAGGTAGCAGACTGGCCCATCTTTCTTCTGAGGAGTTGGTAGGTACAAATCACCACTTTTCTGTTAGCAGCACAATGCTTAACCCAATGTGCTGCTAGAGCCTTTTGATGGTGACAATTCTCTTTGCTAACCGTCCGCCACCACAATTTGCCCTGAATACAACATCTTGACCTTATCCGTAGCTATTGTCAGTTACTCAGTGTAGGACCTCACCACTCAACTGTCCATTAATTTACAAGGCTAGATGACTAATAATAGATGGAAACGGCCCATTAATGTACTTTTCAGCATCATTGAAGCAGGAAGAATTAAGTGACTCTTCATGATCAAATTTCCGGTTTGGGGGCTGTGATAGTTACATAATCTATTGTCAATTTGAGAGTATTAAAAGTGAAGGGGTAGCGTTTAGCCTGTCAATCAAGTGGCTTCTTGATGACCTCATTTCGAGGCGCTAAGGCAGTGGTTCTCAATCTGTGGGTCATGACCACTTTGGGGGTCGAATGACCCTTTCACAGGGGTCGCCTGAATCATAGCAGTAGCAAAATTACAGTTATGAAATAGCAACGAAAATAATTTTATGGTTGGGGGGTGGTCACCACAACATGAGGAACTATATTAAAGGGTCAAGGCATTAGGAAGGTTGAGAATCGGCGATAAATAGCTCGCTTGAGGTGGGACACATGCTCGCTCACTCCCTGAAAGACACTGTAACAGACAAGACACATGGCACTAGGCTAGTGACCTGAGCTGGAGGAGCCACGTGGAGACCCCTGCCAGAGCTGAGACGCTTACAGCGCCACTGGATCCACAAGACTTCCCACCCACTGGCCTGTGATCTTTCTGCATTCAACATCATTGCATGTGCTTCGTGCGTCTGAAGAGGACTTTATAGATTGGTATCAGACATACGGGCTAATATCAGACTTATGGACTTGATCTGGACTAGATGTTTTCTTATGTACAATTACTTAATGCACAGTTATAGAAAGCTCTTTCTTATACACATGAGTCTCCCTGGATTTGTCTTCTCTAGTCTATCCAGACTAACACAGGAGCCCATCAAGATAACCGCTGAGGCCCAAGTCACAGGTGAGAGCATCTTTGTGGCTTCTAAGGATGTGGCCCCGCCAAGCCATAGGCCCTAAGGAAAGGGAGAGAGAACAAGGAAACGGGAGGAAGAGAGGCGGCAGAATGACCGAAAAAAGAAGGTAAATGGACAGGGGAGGAAGGCGAGTTAGGAAGACGCGAACGCGGACCAGCCCAGGAAAGGGCCGAGGCGCGCGGGAAGAGAGGGAGGGCCGACGGGAGCGCGCCGGGCCAGCTCACACGTCCCGGCGCGGGGCGGGGGGCGGGGCTTGGGCGGAGGAGTGTGGGAAGTAGCCTCCCGCCGAGCTGCGAATGGTCGCGTCCACGGGCGGCAGCCAATGGGGGGCCGGGATGTTGGAGGGGCGGCCGCAGTCGGGGCGCTAGCTGGCTGAGGGACGGCGCTGGCCGCCATGATGCTTGTTTGCTTTCAATGAAAACGAGGGGGGCGCGGAGGAGGAGGCGTCGGCGTCGGTGGCGGCGGCGTCGGCGGCGCGGAGGCGAAGGCGGCGGCGGGCGCTGCGAAGAGGGCGAGGCCCGGGGCGGAGAAGGCGGGAGGGAGTAGTGGCGACCCGGCGAGGCGGCTGAGGTGGGCAGCCGGAGCGGTGGCACACGGAGGGGGAACAAAGAGCGGCGGCGGAGGCGGCGCGGCAGCAGCGGGCGGGACTGGTATGGTGGTTCCACAGCTCAGACCCCGCTGCACTCAGAGGGAGGAGGAGGCGGCGGCAGCGGCGGAAGAAGGCTGCGCATCCCGAGAGGTGAGCGAGACGGGCCCGAGGCCCGGCCTGCGCCGCCGCTCGAACCGGCCGCGCTGGGATCCCCGGCCTGTCATGCCCTCGGGACCCGAGCGGGAGAGCGCGGTCCGAAGCAACTTTTGTGTGTTGGGTGGCGCTCCCGTCCCTCAGCGGAGCTGGCGACTGTTGGGGAGCCCTCCCCCGGCCCCCCTTTACGCGCTGCGGTTGCGATCCCGCCTCTCCTGGGGACTCGCCCCCTCGCGGAGTGCGAGTCCGAGGCTCCGGGCGTTGATTGACGGCGGCGGCGCGCGTACGGGCGGGCGCCCCTGCCGGAGCCCCGGGCTCTTGTCAACAGGAGGGGGACACGAGTTGCTGCCCCAGGATTCGTAGACCGGACGGGTGGCAACTTGAGAGAAGTGGCTGTGAGCCTTTGGGATGACACACTGGAGCGTGGGTGCGCACGTCCTGTGGCTGCTGTAGCAGAAAGTAGTAAGCCAACCTGTTCCACCTGGGCAAATCATTTAACATCAGGCCAGTTGGAGGGCGACTTTCTCCCTCGCCGCCCTCCCCCACCCCCACCCCGACCCCGACCCCGGCTGTCGCACAATGATACTGTTAGGGAAATGCTTAGCATCAGAAGAGGTGGTGCCTTACTGTAGTGGATTGCTGAAGATACGGAGATGGCCTTCCTCAGTTCCACACTACCCGTGTGTTTTGATATTCAGTGCCATCTTGGCCAAGCCGTGATTCTCAGCATGCTGTAATTATCCTCCATTTTGTGATCTGATGTAAGGGGAGTTTCTTGGGGGTGTGGCCTGTGTCTAGCATATATGAAAGTTCTGGCAAAGCTCAGACACTCTTGATCCTGCATCCTACTTGTCATGGTTTGACCTCTCTGCTTCTTGAGATAAGAACCAGCAGTGGATAGCTTGACCAGCAGAATTTTGGATTTGTGAGCTCCTGTGATGCGTGAGTCATAGAGCCTGTTGCCTGACTAACCTCAGTTTCGGTTTGTTAGCCCCTGCAACCACTTAAGTCAGGAAGAGCTTCCAGTCTGTTGCCAAATCCACAGATTTTGGACTTGCCAGTATCCCCAATTGGGTGGACCACTTCTTGAAATAAATCTCAATATATACATGCTCTACTGGTTTTACTCCTGTAGAAATGCCAGCCTAAGACATTTGGTACTGAGAGTGGTTCTACCCAAAAGCCCATTGTAATGGAATTGAGTCCAGTGCATAGTGATCTTAGAGGACACAGCTTTCCAGGGTGGTAAATAATTACAGGAGCAGATAGCCTTATCTTTTCCCCTTTGAGTGGCAGTTAGCTGTCTCAACACTTAACCTCCTGCTCCACCAGGGCTCTTTTGAGAGTGGGTCTAGTGGAACAAAACCTTTGGTTTTCTGAATTGGTGGTTGGCCTTGCTTTCCCAAGGCAAATTGATGAAAGAAAGAGATAAACTTAAGGCTTCAGATTTACAGCTCTAGTGCCACATAGAAGAGCCCTGGAAACTATTTCTTGTAGTAACCAGACCAGTATTGTCAAATAGCCACATTTGGCTGCTAAGCCACCCTCCCTAGTAAGATCATCCCCAGTCCATCCCCACGTGATTGTGATGAACACAACTCTGCCTGAAGAGTGAGATATTGCTTGGGGAAGCTTATACCAAAACCAAAATGAAACATGGCCATCAAGTCCATGCGAACTCTTAGTGACACTATAAAACAGGGTAGAATGGTCCCTGTGAGTTTCTGACACTAACTCTTTCACAAGAGTAGAAAGCTTCATCTTTCTCCTGTGGAGCAGCTGTGGTTTGGAACTGCTGAATTCATGATTAGCAGCCCCAAACATAACTATATCTCATCAGGGCTCCTAGAGGAACTCATAAGACATTACTAGATGTCTCCAAGACTTTTATTTCTAGACCTATAACTAGGCATGCAAACAGAAAAATGGGGACCGTGTGTGGGAAAGGCTATAAAGGATGTGGGATAATGGTACAAGAACATGATTGGGAAAGTAGTAAGGTATGAGGCAGAGAGAGCTCTCTGGATTATAAAAATGGAGACATTTTATATCATGTGAATGCTCACCAAAGGGTGAGCTTGGTAGAAGATGATTTTAATAGTCATTTAGATAGAATGATATACTCTGTGGAAAACAGTCCTCCTCTTTTTCCCACCCACTTCTGCCATTGCCCAATGGGCATATGAACAAAAGTGGCAAGGGTGGAGGTTATTTAATTGGACAGCACCATGGACTTACACTCACTCACTGAGGCTGATGTGGTTACAGCCATTGCTGAGTGCCCAGTCTGCCAGCAGTAGAGACCCACATTGAGTCCCTGATATGGCATTGTTCCTTATGGTGATCAGCCAGCAACCTGGTGGCAGACTGGTTATCTTGGATCACTTCCAGTATGTAAAGGGTAGCGTTTTATTCTTGCTTGGAAAAGACACTTCGGAAATTGATTTGCCTTCCCGGCACACAGTGCTTCTGCCAAACTACCGTCTGTGACTTTGCAGAATACCTCATCTACCCTACAGCATGGGCTCAGATCAAGGGATTAACTTCATAGCAAATCAGGTGTGGTAGTGGGCCCATGCTTTCGGAATTCACGGGTTTTTACCATGTTCCTTATTCTGAAGCAGTCGGCTTGATAGAATAATGGAATGGCCTTCTAAAGATAATTATGGTGTCAGCTAGATGGCAGTACTTTGCAGGGTGGAGACTATTTTAGGAGAATGTGCATGCTCTAAAACAGTGTTCAGTATATGCCATTTATCCCTTTGCCAGGATTCATAGGAATGGGAAGAGTGTGGTCTTCTCCAACTCACTTTTAGCCCTTGTGACCCATTCCCATCATTTTGCTTCCTGTTCTTGTGACCCTGTGCTCTCTGGGTCTACAGGTGTTTGGTCCAAAGGGAGGGATATTTCCACCTGGAGGTACAACACTAATTTCATTAAACTGGAAATTGTGAATGCCACCTGTCACGTTAAGTGCCTTATGACTCAGGCTCAACAGGCAAAGAAGGGACTTACTGTATTGGCTGGTGTGGTTGATCCTGATTATCAAGTAGGAATTGGATTGATACTACATAATGGAGGTACTAATGTGTCTGGAATACAGGAGACCCCATAATCCATTTCTTAATATTACCGTGTTAATATTAAAGTTGATGGAAAAACTATAGCAATCCAATTCCAACATGACTACTAAATGGTCCAGTCCTTTTAGAAGTGTAGGTTTGGATCACCTCCACTAGACAAAGAACCATGATAACTGAAGTGCTTGCTGAGGGTAAAGAGAATATGGTAGAATGAGGTAGTTTTAAATGCCAGTTGCAAAAACGACTAATTATGAGTATTTCTTATGTGTTAAACATTACCTGTTGAGCAATATTTTTTCTTCCCTCATTATGTAAGATGAAAATGAGGCTAGTTCGTTTTTTATTGCATATATGTTCATTATTGGGTACAAGTGTGACTTTATAATTGTTATTTAAAAATTGTGGTTTAAGGAGATGGTGTACAGGTGCTAAGTTGACAAGCGGTGGACTATGTTGGTTAACATGTCGGCTTGGGGAGCCTATGGTTTTCGGTATTATGTAATTAATCCTCCATTTTGTGATCTGATGTAGGAGGAGTTTCTTTGGGGATGTGGCTTACATCCAGGATATATGGATGGCTGGCAAAACTTCATCTCACTTGTCATCCTCTGACTTCCACTTCTTGGAATATGAACTAGCAGCCTTCCGCCAGACTTGCTGATTTTAGGTTTGTCAGCCATGGAACCACATGAGCCAGGAAAAGCCTCCAGCCTTTGGGACTTGTCAGCTTCCACAGTGGTGTGAACTGTGTCTTTGAAATAAATCTACATACACACCTCTGGTTTTGTTCCTTTAGAGAGCCTGACCTAGGAAAACTCTGAATTGTATCTTAGCTATTTTGTTTTTAAATGCCATTTTCTTCTGAAACAGACCCACCCTTTTCCCTTTGACCATCTCAATGTCACCTTCCCCAGGCCCAAAACCCATTGTCAAGTTATTTCTGACTCAGAGATGCCCTATAGCAGTGGTTCTCAACCTGTGGCTCGTGACCCCTTTGGGGATCAAACTACCCTTTCACAGGGGTCGTCCAATTCATAACAGCAGCAAAATTACAGTTAGGAAGTAGCAACGAAAATGATTTTATGGTTGGGGGTGGTCACCACAACATGAACTGTATTAAAGGGTCACAGCATTGGGCAGGTTGAGAACCACTGCCCTGTAGGATAGAGTAGAACTGCGCCAAAGAGCTTGCTGGGCTGCATTCTTTGTTGGCACTGATTTCCATATCTTTCTACTGCAGAGCATCTCGGGTTCAAACTACTGACTTTTCTGGTAACAACCAAGCACTTAACTGCTGTTCCATCCTCAAAGAGCCTTTGTTTTTTTAAAGTGGTATTGGACAGCATCATGAATGCAGTTTTGCTTGACTTTCTTGCACTTGTGATAAGTTGCCTGAATTTGTGTTCTCATGCATACCTATTTTCCAGATGAATTAGCCTATTATTTATTGCTAGTGTCAAACTTATTTTGCTTCTTAATCTGATGTATGGGAATTAGATTTTTGAGGAGAAAGAGAAAATTAGGGATAAGTGGGAAATGAAATGGTAATAGGACTTTAAGTGGTGGTGCTTTTTTTTCCTTCACAATACCCTAGAAAGTGTGCCATTACAAAGCTTTTTTTTTTGTTTTGTTTATTGGGCTCTAAGACTTAAAGTGAGCATTAATCAAAAGATTGAAGACTATTGTTTTGTAATTCCTACAACAGCAATGATCAAATCTTATGAATGCTGTAAATATTAGAATAAAGCCAGGAATCTAGTCCATTCATCTTGCTTTAAATAGATATTTGATTGTCTATTGATGAGGAAACAGACCTTGCGCAATTAGCTTGACTTGCCCAGGATAACTTTAGGAGGTAAGAGTAAGGGCCAAGTTTTGTGTGAATATGAGAGCAAATGAAATTATGAGGAGACT